ACTAATAGAGAACATGGTACTACAACATATGCTATCAGATTGAAAAGATGTTTTAGAACACTTTAAGCCTGGCTAAACTATCCATGCAGCAAGCAAGTGAATGCATAATCTTCCCAAGATGCATGGTGTTTAGCTTATGTGAACATTTTTGTTAACATTGGCAGTTGTATGTGCTATGACTGAACTCAAGCTATTTTATACTCATTTACTGTATATGCATATACATTGTACCGTTTTGGTGTGTCCCTATACCAACATGAAATCGTTATGCGGACATATAGTGAACAAATTGTGTGGCTGGAGACCCACTCTTATGGATTACAGATATACATGGTATGAGTATCCTCTTTGGACCTGGTATATTAAAGTGATACATTGGTGGTTGTGGAATGGAAGCATATACGGTACATATTGGATTGATGCGCACTTTAACTTAGTGGCACTCCTTAAAGGAGAACTATGGGGTCAGTGTTTTTCCCCATAGTTCTCTTTGGGGTAACGGGAGGACACAAACTAGCGTCCTCCCATTACCCTAAGCTCAGTATACCGCGAGCTCCTATCTAGAGGCAGAGCCAGCTGTACCCGCCCCCTCCCCCGTCCGTTCCGCCAGTCAGCGCTGGCAGATCGGAGTGGGGAATCCAGCCCCTCCCCCTGTCACGGCAGAGAGCCGTGACAGGATCGAGAGGTGAGGGAACACGGTATGTGTTCGCTCACCTCCCGATCTACTGAGCTGACCTGTGACAGTCTCATTGTCACAGGTCGGCTAGAACTATGAGGTGAGTGAAAATAACTCATGTCATAGTTCTCCTTTAACAAGTGGATTATCATAACCAATTAAATCTGGACTTTTGCTGCAGCTAGCTGATATTGTAAGCACAGTTCCGCATGACTGCAAGACTTTCATTTGCATTTCTAATTTTCCTCCATGTGGTTCTGTGGTCTATCTCTATCTGAACCATTAGATACAGGCTGCCCTCTTCTAGACTATGATTACTCCAGGATTATTGTTATAGACTGCCCTTCAAAATACATTCATAGGTTCAGAAATACTGAAGACCTGCTTATTTTGGCAGGTGGGTAGGAGATAGAGCTTACGTTGCAGGGGATTGTGGGATATGACTGGGAGCACAATTTGTACTTGTCTCTCACATGTCTGTGTCTTTTCTTGTATTTTGCAATTTGCTGTGTTTTTATTCTGTTTACTAAAATGAGAATAAAGAATTACAAAAAAACTGTAGCCTACTTAAGCTGCTATATAGCCTTTTAAAATCCAAAAAGTGATATTATAGGGGGTTATTCACTAAAGAGCCGAAGGATCCAGCCGTAGCTTCGGCTGATGCTTCAGCTCTCTTCGGCCGCCAGAGCCCTTCGATTCAGTCTAACCAAAGGGCTGCTGTACAGGCTATTCACTATGGCCCGTACAGCAGCTGAAGGTGGCCAAGCGGCTAAGCCGAGCCGAAGGCATATACTTTGGCTCGAATGAGCTGAAGTGACAGCCGAAGCGAGAAGAACGGCCTGCCAGTTCTAATGACAGATCAGCTTCCCAAAATGACCTGGGGATGCTGATCTGTCATTAAACAATTACGGCCGTGACGTCACAGCCGGCTCCGCTCAGTTGTTATTGATTGGCCGGGACCTGCTAGAAGACTCTAGCAGGTGCCGGCCAAAAAGAAACAGTTAGGCGGAGCTTGCTCTCACTGCTAAAAAAAAAAAAACATTTGAAAATATCTCTATTTATTTTTACTATTTGTTAAAATTTTTAAAATATTTTAAAAACTTTTTTTCACTCTTTTCAGTGTTTTTCTATTCTGAGCAGAATAGCCGGGCAGAATAAGAATAGGGGCGAACGGCAGCGAGTAAACTGCTGAAAATTCGGCTCAGCTGATCCAGTTGTTGGATTGGCTGAGTCGAATTCCCTCTGCACTTCGGCTCAGCCAAAGGCAGCCTATGATTTCAGCGAATGTACAGCTGAAATCAGCCGTAATGAGCGGGAGTTGAATAGCCAAACGTCATTTGGTTCTGTTCACTTCGGCTTGGTTATTCACTCGGCTGCCTTCGGCAGCTTTGTGAATAACCCTTATAGTGTCAATGTGTCCAGTGAAAACTGAATGTAAATAATCAATTTTTAAATATTGCCAGAAAATAATCAAAATCCCCTACAACCACAAACAGAATATCATCAACGAACCTAAAAAAAAATTGTGCTTATAATAAAAAGCACGATGTAAAAAAAAATCTAATATTCCCATTATAAGTTCTTTGGCATTCTCCCATTAAAAGTTCTATTGAATTCAAACTAATTTTTTAACCTTTAATAAACAGGACAAAATTTACATACCCAATTGATTAGGGATACATGGGTATAGACATGTAGTGTCCACCGTAAAAGAGAACAAGAGCTGCTTCTGTATCCATGAGTTGAGTTGAGGGCCACGTATAAATCAACAGTAATACAGTTTTTTTGGGGGGACAAGCATGGTTTTCTTTTGTTGATATTGTTTTGCAAAATATATTATTTTATATGCACACTATAGATAATAAAAGGAACAAAGCTAAAAAAAAATCTACTTTAGCCAGTGTTAGTTTTAAAACGAGTGTTACTGTAGATAAAAACTCCCACTTATAATGACACTAAAAATAACATTCTGGTACAAGACATAATGAAGTAATTTAAAAATATAAATCACGTTTTTTTTTGGTGGGGATTTTGCTAATTTTTGTCATGCAACACAAAAAAAAATCAAATAAAAATGAAAAATAAGTTTATATAATAATGGTTAAATATCAAAAGGTAAAATGTAAATCAGCAGAAAAATAACATCTAAGAAGAAAATGGAGGAAAGAGATATTTAGGGCTGATTATTTCTTTTTTACAGGTATTTATATACAGCGCCAACAATTTTAAGCAGCACTTTACATAGTTGCACATTCCCATCAGTCCCTACCCTCAAGGAGCTTACAATCTAAGGTCCCTATCTCACAGGCATACAAAGAGTTTTTTATTTGTATTTTTATGTATACTTGGTTGTTGGTGTTCATATGTATGTGGTGGCTAAACAGTTTTCTGTTCACCTTCCTCTTATCCCTCTGCCTCAGGGGACTGAGTTCCCACATTGATTACAGCACTCAGCATTCGCTGTTTGCTGACACTGCCGTTTTTTGATGCAAGAGCTGGTCCGGTTTTTGGGCTCTGTGATAGGTCGAGTGGCAGCGACACCCGGTAGGTGGAGCCTGACTGTTTCGGGTCCCCATTGGCAGGCCGCGACATCTTGCCTCCACACGGTTCCCCTGACTGATACCAGACACGGCCTGAAGAAGAAGGAGGCGTGCCCCGGAAACGCGTTAACGTCACCATCACACAGGATCCGTCCAGTGGATGCTTACCGCCTGTCAGCTTATTTTACATGACTGTGTGACACTCATCCTTTGTGAGTACCTTCCTGCTTTTTACTTCATGTTTATCGAAATAAAAATTGATCTGCACCAGGAAAGGCGCCCCCTCTGTGTTTACTTTATACAAAGAGGGCCAACTTAGAGAGAAGCCAATTAACCTGCCAGCATTTCTTTGAAGCATGGGAGGAAACTGGAGTACCCGGTGGAAACCCTTGCAAGCACAGGGAGAACATGCAAACTCTTTGCAGATAGTGGCCTGGTTGGGATTTGAACCAGGGACCCCCAGTGCTGCAAGGCAGAAGGGCTAACCACTACGCCACTGTGCTGCCCAATTAGGGTTAAGAAAGGGTTAAAAAGCTACCAATTCTATTTGGAAAAAAAATGACTGGTAGGGTAGCTATAATTGACAACGTATGTAGATCAAAGGTCACCGCGGAGTAAATACAATGTAACAATTAAGTTATTTCTGAATGAAGCGTTATGATCACCGTTCAGAAAATTCACCTCGCACAGCTGGAGCTGCTTCTGTCCTGGCTGTTAATTTGGCAGTAGGAATTGACTGACCTATTTGTCATAGGGGATTTGTAAACTGTTTGGTATCTTTCATACCTAAATAACTTTTTACAATTTTGATCATGTGCTGGCACTGTAGGTGATGTAGGAACAATTATTTCTGCTACTGTGGTAGTTAACACCCTTAGTGACCTTCCTGATACATTATTATCCTTATGTCTTCCTTCATTACGTCTCCCCCATGGGGGCTTTTCCACATAGTTCTCCTAAGGGTCACAGGGAGGACACAAACTAGCGTCCTCTCGTCACCCAAAGCTCAGTATATAGGGAGCTACAGCTCGCGGTATACTGAGACGCTGCAGCCGGGACAGATCACGACATTACTGTCTGTATCTACCCAGCTGCGTGAGTGACAGCTGGCTCTGCCTATTTAGAGGCAGAGCCAGCTGAGCCCGCCCCCTCCCGTTCCGCCAGTCAACGCTGGAGGATCAGACAGGGGTGGGGTGAGGCATCACCGCAGGGAGCCATGAGTGACAGTCACGGCTCTCTGCAGGGACAGGATGGAGAGGTGAGCGAGCGACGGTATGTGTTCGCTCACTTCCCGATCTACTGAGCCGACCTGTGACAGTCTCATTGTCACAGGTCGGCTAGAACTATGAGGCTGAGTGATTTTTACTCGCCTCATAGTTCTCCTTTAAACTTTTAAACCCTTCTATTGCCCTCTTACCCTCATTTTCTTTTACCTCCTTTTCTTCTCATTCTTTTATCACTTCTGTAACCTTTGCTGGTTTAACTTTTATGTAACATGTGACATTCCCACTTTTTTTATTTAACAAGCTATATTCAAAACATTATTATGATTTGTAAATTATCTATATTTACACAATAATATATACAGTAAGTAATACAAAAGCAAAATGTGTAAACCTAAAAAAAAATCTAAATTATTATGATAAAATAAACACCAAAATAGCACATTGGCTAATATTTAGTTTCCTTTTTCAGTAAATCTGCTTGTATTCTTGTTCCTGGCTTAATTATGATAATGTAACATTTTGGGAGAAATATAGAACTTAGAAGTCCAGCGCTTGAGGCTAATATGGCGAATACCTCACAGCCACCATATATTTCCCTTTGGTGCTCAGATAAGCCGGGATCATGGCAATCCAGACACTGCAGAACACCAGCATGCTGAAGGTGATGTACTTGGCCTCATTAAAACTGTCCGGTAATGTCCTCACCATGAAAGCCAGAAGAAAACTCACAGCTGCCAGAAACCCCATATAACCCAACACAGAGTAGAACCCGATAACTGACCCTTCATTACACTGAATGACAATCTTGTCCTGATAAGACTGAGTGTCTATTTCTTTATAAGGGTGAGATACAGACAACCAAACAAGACATATTATCACTTGAACAGACGAGCACACAGCGACTATGGAATTGGCCAGTTTCACCCCGATCCATTTCCTCCAGTAGCTGCCAGGTTTGGTGGCTTTGAAAGCAATGTAAACCATGATTGTCTTAGCGAGAAGAGAGGAGACGGCTATGGAGAAGATGACTCCAAATGTCATGACACGGAGTATACAGGTTATATCCAGTGGCTGACCAAGAAATAAGAACACACAGAGGAAACTCAAGAAGATGGAGACAAGGAGAACAAAACTCAGGTTTCTGTTATTGGCTTTGACAATGGGAGTGTTCAGATAGGATATAAAAATCCCCATTATGAAGAGAGTCACAATACAGAGTGAAATAGAAATGGAGATAAAAAATATAGCAATATAATCCCCGTAGGAGAGAAATTCCAGCAGTTTTGGAATACACCGATCCTTCTTCTCATTAGGCCATTCATCATCTCTGCACTTCATACAGCTCTCACTGTCTGCCAAAAATAACAGACACAAGTTTTATTTTTATTTCAAATAGTTAGACCTAAATTTAACTCTTCCGGCCTCTGCAGTTTTACTTAGAAAAAGGTCAATTTGGATGACATAAAAAAACATATTTCTTTATAAAATTATGAAAAGTTTATTACATCCAAGGCAACAATATAATGTTTTACTAAAAGTAATAATACATGATTAAAAACAAAGAGACTTCCGGTTCCGACGCCTGATGAGGTGAAAGCGTCTCCACAGCTCTCCGTCCCGCAAAGCCTTGGATCTTCATTAGTCACTTCTTATCTGACCATTTACAGACCGCTACTGCCACCTGCTGGATTTCGGAATATAAAATGGATAAATTCGTATCTCGTCCGTCCGTGGCCAGACGCTCGTTACATGAGATCAGTGACGGCGTGGCCCACAAGATGGCACCGGCTGAGCCTATGACGCACAGTGCACCCGAAGATTCGGCTGGTGCGACTATTCTTTCACAGGATTCCTGTGGAATTGATTATAGCAAACTGGCTTCAGAGGTGGCTTCCCACCTGAAACATGATATTGCCCATATTATAGAAGATGCAATAACATTACAAATGGGCAAAATGGCTGCCACCTTAGAGTCACATCATACCCAACTGACAAACGCGGAACAACGTATTAACCATTTGGAAAGTGATTCCCAAGTTACTCAAGCATACATTACAGCGTCATCAAATAAAATGTTACTGCTCGCTGATAAATTAGATGACCTGGAAAACAGGTCGCGCAGAAACAATCTGCGAGTGATCGGCCTCTCTGAATCTGTGAAGCCCGGTGACCTCGCAAGATTCTGCGCTGACACCATTCCTCGAGCCCTAGGTCTCTCTCGTTCATTTACAGTGGAACGGGCACACAGATTAGGCGCACCCAGGGATGACGCTCTCCCGAGACCGGTCATTGTACGCTATTTAAACTTCGCGGATAAACATCAACTGTTCTAAACAACTCAGCGAAATCTTGTGGCGGAAGGACACAAAATTCTCTTGTTTGCTGATTATTCAGCTGACCTCTCCAAACGTAGGAAAGCTTTCCAGGATGTGTGCCAAATTCTGGTACTGCGTAGAGTGAAGTTTGCTTTAGCATATCCAGCAACTTTACGTATCACCGGCCAAGATGGTACAGTTACGAGATTAACTATCACTAATTTGGGGGGTTGTAGTTATACTTAGTACCTCATTACATGTTCCCACATTAATATCTTACTCACCTCTTTGGCCCGTCATTCTCCTATAGATACCTGCTTCTATATATAAATATTTGAATTCTATCCATTCCCTAACTCTAGACCTTTTACTTATCCCACTTACCGCACTTATCATCGCAATTCTTTCTCTACTAGCGAGAACCTAAATGATCTGATACTTATTTGTTTGTTTTGATCTGGTTTAATGTTTTTGTGAATTACAGTGTCATCTGATCCACTTCATTCTTTTACTCTATTTTCAGCTTTTTCATCTTGAAGCTGTTGTAATATGTTGTATACTTCTTACTTATTCTCTTCCATTCTACTTCTCACAGTATATTATTTTATAATCTAATCACAACAAGTATGATGTCACTTATTCCTTGTTCAAGACATATTTGAGGCTTGATATGTTATTGAGTTTACATAATTATAATACAGTATGTTGTTGATTTTGCATGTCATTTATTACATTGTAACCAATGTACTGTTTCTGTTAATGCATATCTTTTATTCTTTACCAATAAACGTTTATGCTAAAAAAACAAAAAAAACAAAGATGAAATATTCACATGATTAAATATTTTTTGACCAACATTTTACAGACCTTGAAATACTGTTATAAGTGTCACATTTCACATAGGCTTATCTGGTCAACATGTTTCCTAAATTGTATTCACTTCTTCAGAACGAAACAGTGAAAGGGCCGTATAAACGATACGATAAACTAGGGGCCGATCTATAAACAAATCAAAATAAAACTAATACAGCTTAAAGTGACATCAAACCCTCAGATTTTTTAACATAAAACAATACTGTAATGTGCGCCTTACTGTAATCCATGGTAGTTTCCCTTCTCTTTGCTGCTCTTCCTTTTAAATCCTCATGTCTTCTCATGCTTGGGGAGAACTTCCCTTTGCAGCTGAGTGCCTCTTCCTGTAGTGCTGGCTCAGGTTACAAACCTACACACAGACACCGTGTATCCATTCCTGAGACAAGGCAGTCTGTTGCAAAACAGAAGTTCTGCCCAGCATGAGAACAGATACGGATTTAAAAGGAAGAGCAGCAAAGAGAAGGGAAACTACCATGGATTACAGTAAGGCGCACATTACAGTATTGTTTTATGTTAAAAAATCTAAGAGTTTAATGTCACTTTAATCAAAAACAGGACAAGGATCACCATTGGCTAAACCCCAGGACATCATATGCCCCTTATAACAGAAATAAATATATACTTATAAAATTAATTTAAAGGCATAGAAGGCCTGAGCTATGAAGACCGCCTCCAAAAATTAAACGGATTCTCCTTAGAAAAGAGGCGCTTACAGGTCATACCTCTTTAACCAAGGTGGGGATACACCCACCTTACTGGACTCAGCATGCTAGCAGCCTGTTCTACCTTGAGCCGGCCTGCAAAATGTTTCAGAACATTTAATGTAACAATCTGCACTGGTACTCACAAGATTTCTCTCTGTATGTCATTGTAGCTTCCAAGTTGTGGTCTGTACATGTTATTGGTCCTTTGGAATTATCTGTGTCTGTCTTGTTTCAAACATCTCAAAATAAAGAATTGAAAAAAAAAAAGAGGTGCTTAAGAGGCGGACCTTTTATTGCAGTCTTCAAAATCATCAAAGGGGACCACAATATTTGGAACAAGTTGTTTTCACAGTGAACAGTATCGAGGACACGTGGACACAACAAGAGGTTAGGAAAGAGGGGGTTCGATCTTAGAACACATAAGGGTTTTTTTTTACTGTGCAAGTCAAAATATGGAATTCCCTTCCACAGGCAGTGGTATCCGCTGATAGCGTAGTTAAGTTTAAGAAACTTCAAAATTAATTCCTTCAGTCACTAAATATACAAGGATATGGGAAGAGTTCAATGCACATTCCAGCAAAACAGCACCAGAGCATCACGCTTCCTCCTCCATGTTTGACGGTTGATGTCACACACCGAGGAACCATCCTTTCGCCTATTCGATGGTCTACTAAAACCCTGGTGATGAACCTGAAAATCTCACATTTGGATTCATCAATCCACAAGGCCTTCTGCCAGTCTTCAGTAGTCCACTGGCGGTGCTTCATGGCCCAGGCAAGGCTCTTTTTCTTATTTTGCCATCTTGACAATGGCTTTTTTACTGCCACTCGACATGTCAAACCTGCAGCTTGAAACTCCTCTTCACAGTTAAAACTGAGATTTGCTTACTTTGATTCGTGTTCAGCTGTGTTTGAAGCTGTTGTTCTGTGAGCCACCTGTCATGCAAGCTGTTGATTCTCAGAAACTTGTCTTCTGATTGTGTTGTGGCTTTGGCTCTTTCAAGTGTCTTTTGATGGCATAGGAAGCTGTACTCACTGACACCTTGGTTTTCTTTGCAATTTCTCTAAAGGAAAGGCCTACACTTTTAAGGGTTATAATGGTCTGTCGGTCTACCTTTGTTAATTGCCTTTTCTCACCATTTTAAGAGAAATATACTACTTCCTGCAAAACAATACTCTCCAAATATTGCTTAAGAGGGTGTGGAAACACAGTCTGTTCCTACACTAAGCCCTCGTTCACACCTGACCGTTTTGTAGGGCGTTCTACGCTCGACGAACGCTCTACAAAACGGTCAGAAATATAAATTGCATTGTAGTCAATGCCCTCGTTCCCACCTTGCCGTATTTCCGCCCGTCCCTAACGCCCTACAAAACGGCCCAAGCCTGAAAAGGTCCCGGTACTACTTTGGGCCGTTTTGTAGCGCGTTTCCATTGGGATACAGCCAAGTAGCTGTCGGAATCGCGCGACGGTCGCGCAACTTTTTTACCGCGGTAAAAAAACCGTGCGACGGTCGCGCGACAGATGCGCATATTACAATACGCCTAGGTGTGAACGAGGGCTAATTTTGTACAGACAGAGGGCTTGTGAGTAATCAGAAAAAAGTTGGGACACCTGTAGGAATTGTTAGCATAAACCTTAATGCTAGGTTCACACCAGATGCAGTGCGTTCCGGCCCGATTCTGGCCAGAACGCACTGCATCGCATTGCGGCCGGCTCACATTTTTGTGGGGCATGAGGGGGCGCGGCGGGCCATTGAAGTGAATGGCACCATAGCCACGCCCTCCGCCGCAATGCGATCGTTCGCACGGGATCTCAAGGATCTTGGTGCTTGCTGCACACAAACACTACAAGGCCAACTATCTATGGACATGCCGACCAAACCTATGTGAGCTTGTTGGACATCTCAAACCAAAACCATTGGCTATAATTTGGATTCCCCACACACACCTTTGCTATAAAAGATTTCAACAATGTTTGTCTGTGGACATTTGTGCCCATGTAACCAAAAGAGCCTTTATTAGGTCAGATACTGATGTTGAATGAGAAGACCTGATTCACTAATGGCGTTCCAATTCAACCCAAAGGTGTTCAGTAGGCTTCAGGTCAGGGCTCTCTACAGAACACTTGAGTTTCTTCATACCAAACTGCTCTAACCGTGGAGCTGGCTTTGTATACAGGGGCACAGTAATGCTGGAACAGAAAAGCGCCTTCCCTGAACTATAACCAAAGGTTGGATGTGCCAATTGCCTAAAATGTATTTGTATGATGTAGTATTAACAGTAGTCTTCACTGGAAACACCTGAATGCAAACCTCTGGAGGGATGCCCACATACTTATACAGTAGGTGTGATAGTCAGGTATCCTAAGACCTTTGGCTATATAGTGTAGTTAACCCATGGCCATGTGCCCTATGCATTTATGTCACAGAATGGAGCGGGCCTTATTC